GTAGTCTGTAAAACATCATGTCATGTCCTGTTGCCTAAAATAAGACTGAAAGTAGCGCTGAGCAAACTCAAAACAGACTTGCTTCAAACCTCAATAATACAAATGATCTCCCATTCTCACTCTACCAACTGCTCCCCTACCGTGTTCTAAAATCTCAACAAATTTCTAAAGCTTGAAAAAATTACTTTACCTAGAGCTAGAAGATATACTTTCCTCGCTAGAAATTTCCTCTTTTGCTTCGCTCAATCTTCGCTCATTTCTTGCAGGATTAGTGTTTCTAGATTGTCTGCTAGTTTTCTGCGGTTGTACCACGTTTTGACTCGGTGAACCGCCCCCTTGCCTAAAGATCGAAAATCATACCCAAAAACTCGGATGAGTAAGATGAAATTTAACACCAGTAGCAAAAAACTACCATTTAGGGCGCGAGGCTTGAGGTTCGTTGCGCAATAATGAGTCAGAACGAACACTACGGGTTCTACTTTCCGATCTTTTTAAAACACCAACAGGCCTCGTAGGGCTCCTGGACGGTCTAAAAACAAAAACCAAATGACTAAACTTATCAAATGAAACAAAGGTAAGCAAATAATTATACTGGAAGAAACCTCTTTTTTTTCGGAATGCGAAATGATGAGAGATCTGTTGGCCGTATCGAGCCATCATCATCAAAGAGATTTTTCAATGGAACTGCAGAAGCTAAAGAAGCTCTCGTAGCAGCTTTTCTGCGTCTATCTGATGAGTCTGAATGCGTTGAAGTTGAAGACGAACTTCTAGAAAAAAAATTTATCAATCATTTTCAATAAAAGAAAACAACCGAGGGAAAATTACATAAACGAAAATGATCAAAATAGAAAGTTGATAAAGCTTTCAAAGAACATCGAAATAACTCTGTAATAAAAAAAACAAATGCAAAAGTATCAGAAATCTGAAGCTCACTCAGAAATACTACTCTCAGATAAACTCGTGCTGTGAGGTCGTTTCCGAGAATGATGGTGTTCTTCAGAGAGCCGCGCTTTTTGTAATACCGCACCAAGCGTTGTTGATGGAAGCTCACGACTGCGGTTTCTCTTCTTTTGGCTACGCTCCCAAGGATCCCGTATATTTGTCCCTCCACCTTAAAAAATGCTCCAAAGTTAAGAGTGAGTAGCATAATAAATAACGAAAAAGGCATGATAAATTCCTACTGGATACACTTATATTTGGTCCCAGACTGTGTTGTTTCCGCGTAGGACCACTTTTCTCACTTCCACTTCTAGAAATAGGCAGCGCCCCTCTTCTAGGTGAAGGTGAGCGCAAAGGCGAACGCGATGAAGAGTGGGGAGAACGAGAAGGACGACGTGGCACATAATACCGTTCATTAATAGACCTTTAAAAAAAGAAATAAAATCCCCAATAAAATCCTCAACTGAAGTCTCTTAAAGAAAAAAAAAATTGGACTTACGTGTCACGTTTATTACCACGCCGAATATTGTTGTCCCGTCTTCTACTACCCGGTCTTCCATTTGGATATAAAACTTGAGGCCCAAGATCTAAAATTCAAAAAAATGTGACCGTATATGCAAAGGGAAAGAAGTCCCATAAAAGGAAAACAAAAATAAACTCACTTACCTTTCTTAACTTCAACAAAACGATTTTCTCTAATCCCATCCATCAGTGAAGGAATACGACTTCGATTTACAGAACCATAAGTATCAGTTGTTCTCCCATACTCATCTACATAACGGCATCCATTTCTTCCTCCTGTAAAGTGCAGAAGTCAGAAAAAAGGAGTCTGATGCGATTCAAGCATCACCACCGTACACGATATACACAAACAACAAGTAGAATGACCTACCCAAGAGATGATCTTTCCCATTCTGATCATTAAAACGGTCATACCGGCGGATGTTTCTTGATCGAGCATCATTATAAGATGAAGTAGGGAGAAGACCTGCCCTTAAATTGCGTCGAGGTGACATTTCTTCTCTTATGCCCCTAAAAGAAATGAAGAATGTTTCTGAAATGAGAGTCAAATTTAACACTGATTATTCCTGAAACCTACGCTTTGGGCATCAATCGGGAGTCGTCAGAATCATCATCGGTAGTCCTTCGATCAACCTCCTCGCTAGGAGCCAAAATTAATCGCTTTCTTTCAAAATCTGGTTCTTCCTTTTTCTTCGTTGCTTTCTTCATCAGCTAGACGCAACTGACTTAGTTCGAAAGATTCAAAAGCTAATTAAAAAAGTCGTGATGTCAAAAAAATAGAATTGTCTACTCACTTCTCTCGCTTCTCGTAAACCTCGTTCCCAGGCAGACTCGCCTGATCCACTGTGGAGGGAACCAGGCTCCCCTTTATCGGTCACCGTACCCGGATAAGTAACCCTTGAATGTATGCTGGCTGGAAAAAAACTTCTTCAGTGGTTCTTCCAGTGAAATAAAAAAAACACTGAAGAGCTTACGTCTGTCGACTTCTCTTTCACGGTCTCCTGAAAGCCATTCACCAGGTTTCCCTCTAGAACTAGATGGGACTCTTTCTCGATTACTCTGTAAGTTAGGTCCAATGAGTTTGAAAAACTATAAGATGCGAATAGCATTCCAATAATTATTCCATGACCCTTGGTGGAAAAGAAATTCTCAACTTTTCTATAAATTACGCGCCTACGAAAAATAGTAAAACAACAACAATATTAATTACAAAACAAAAGAGCATACGTCATGAGGATGTATATATTTGCAGTCAGATCCCCATGTGCAGTTCCCCCGAAGATAAAATTTACATATGTTAGGGATTTCAGAACCTTCATCTCCGCGGGCAACGGGAAGTGGCTTTGCTGGATCGTGCGGCTTCAAAGCAGATGGCACCTGAATAAATTATTTAAGCGATTTGAACATTAAATATGAAAACTATGCGTAACTATTACAATGATTATACATTGTAATGAAAATCTTGAAATACTTAGAACATCTTTCAAGAAAATGAAAATAAAGAAACAATTCATTCGGAATAAACCGATAATAACTATAAAACAACTGAAAGTAACTCGACAATGTGGGAAAACAGAAGTTTTAAAAAAAAGAATAAAATGAAAAGCTTCGTTAGTGCACCTTATTCGTATTTTCTGAATGGTCATTATCGCTATCGCTTTCCGAACGAAGTTCTCCTTCTTCTAAATCATCAATCTCTCCTTCTTCACTTGGCTCTCTTTTTTTACTAGCACTCGCGGCCACTACGCTCTTTTCATCACTATTATAAGAATCCCCATGCTCATCAAATTCATGAGAATTTGACTGCTCTTCGTTACTAAGATGTTTCTCTTCATCCTCCACATCATCGTCCGACACCATAAACGCACCATTCTCCTAAAACACAGTTTTAGGATTCGAACAAATTCAGTCAAGAAAAAAAAAACACACTAGTAATGACTGAAACCTACTTCATGGTCTTCATCCCCATGAAATGAAGAATGATCAGAATCACGATTTTCTTCATCATAATCCAGCTCAGCATCAATTCTATCGTCGCAGTAGCCTACTCTTTTCACATCCTGCTCAGCAGTGTCGCTGACAACCCATTCCTTTTTCTCTACAAAAAATAGACGCTAGTTTTTTTGGAAATCTTTTACGCCGCTCACTTAGAGAAAGAAAAAAAAGCTCCCTTAAGCCATAACAGCAAATGATAAAAATCAATAAACTCCAATAAGAAATAAGCTCAAGACAACGCTGAACCATCGATTCAATACCTCCAATTAGGGCAGTAATGTGTAAAATTTCACCTTCAAACTGTGCTTCCCGTGAAGCGCTATAACTTTGCTCTTCCGTGCCCAAGCCTGCCGAAATATCTTCGACTTCCATTCGTGGCTCGGAGCTAAAACAAAAAATACAATTACAAGAAATGGTGACTAAAAATAGAAAGAAACATAATTTGTGTTGTTACCTTAAAATAACCAATAAACCGATTGAAACAAGTAAAAAGCGATTTAGATTGAGATGAAAAAAAAAAAGAAGTAAAAACTGTTAGCAAAGGAAACATTAAACAAGCATTTAAAAAAAAAAAAAAATTGCATTCAACTGTACAGAATGCTTCAGATGCTGACAACTACTTTCAGTGTCTGAAATAAAGAAAAACGAAAACAAAAATACAAAAATAAAGGAACCTTAAATCAAGTTCCTGCTACCAAAATTTTACTTTTTTTAAAATATGACTAAGCAAGTAGTAAAGAACTTTTTTAAATATCACTAAGCAGATTGTAAAGAGCAACTCTTATTTCTATAACTCACAAAAAAATTACTCCAACTTCCCTGCACCTCAGTGACTTTTCAAATCAGATTCTTGTAAAAGAAGGCATCAGGAAAAAATCAAACCAAAAAACACTAGATAACAAAATCAGATGCTCCTTTCAGGTTGAAAACTGTACAGAATGACAAACCGACAATTAAAAATATCTTTTTTCGGTGTGGTTTTTTGAGCAAACCCTATCTGTTGTCTCTCCTAATCGATAAGTAGCTTAAGGACCAAATTTACTAACAAGAAAAGTTTATAACCAAAAGTAAAATAAAGAAAAAACATGCAACAGTTTATGATTAATAAAAAATAAAAATAAAAGTAAAGCTTCAGAAAAAAGTTTAAATTTATCATCACCATTACCGTCATGATGAGAGTATAAACTGTTTGTATTGTAGAGACCACAACGATATAGCCCTCACAGAAGGAAACAGATGGTACTGATAGTTTGATAAATTCGTAAACATTTTATGAATAAAGATGAAGAAAACTTTTTCACTTTTTGCTTTATTTTTTTCTTTCTATTTAGTGAAGGGGCAATAACTGTGTGAGGATTTAGCACTGATGACAAACAGGAGGTAGGCCGAAGATGAATGAACAAGGAGGAGGAGGAGAAGTAATGCAGAGTTGGTAACTTAATATATACTTATTATTTATACATACGTATATACAATACGGGTATTACTTTAGGGGTATGCTGAAGAGAGGCTTGTAATCGTGGATGAGTAAATTAGAAATTCGGCAGTCAACAGTATATATACGTATATATACACATATACATACATATACATATATATAAATTTGGAAGGAATTCACATGAGTCGTAAAACCTCTTCTTTCAAACTGTGAGAAGAGTAGAGTAGTTGATGATGCCAGCAGTGGTGGTATTGATCATCAAGGAGTAACGATGGTAACTGTAGTGTTGGTAGTTGTGGCAATGCTGTTGCTGCCGGTAGTGGCAGTGGCGATGATGATGATGACTACGGCGACGCAGATTACGATGATGATGCTGATGGCTTCGACGACGGTGGTGACGGCGGTTGTTATTTTCTTTAGACAAATCATCTAGTCATGTACCGAAGATTTGGAGAACTAGATCTCTTTAAAAGGAACCACGTTTGAAGGCACAGTAAGAATAATAATAATCATTGGTACTACATTGAAAACTGATTAATAATAAAATGAAAATGTTGATAATGAATATACACCAAATCACTATATATATAAGCATAAAAGCAGAGAGACCTACATAAATATACACAGATGTGCATACGAATACTTGTGGGACTCACTCATTAACACAGAATCATGTTCAAACATACTATTGATTTGTTACAAGCAACAAATTTAAAACCTGTTGGAATTTCAAAACGGATTATTATTGATATTATTATTACTACTATTGCCGTAATTATTTTTCACTACCATTACTTCTGCATTTATATACTTATACAGGATACAATTCCAAACATTACTTACAAGTAACTTAACATTACTACCATTATTACCGTCATCATCATCATCATTATCATTATCATTATCATTATCATCATCATCATCATCATCATCATCACCATCATCTCATCATCATCATCATCATCATCATCATCATCATCATCAGCAGCAGCAACAGCAATATCAGCATCACCGTCAGCAATGGTCACCAGCATTGTTAAATTACAGAAAGAACGCGTGATAACTGAAGGCTTTCATATTTGTTAAAGCAATTCAGTGGGATGCGTGGTTCGTCGGGAACCGAAGCATGAAGAGCAGTACTGACGCAGTTTAAAGCCGATTTACTCCAATTCTTTTTCAGACAATTACATAAACAAGTAAAGGAAAAAAAATTCTCGCCTTTCTAGCACTATTTTTTTCTTCAAATAATCAACTTTTCAACTTTTTTCACTACGGAGAGATCGAGGAAATTCCACACTTTAGCATAATCAATTTCCTGGAGGCACAAACAGTTTGTAGTTGCTGCCGCTGGCATTAGCAGACTGGAGATGGGGGTTATTCGATCAAGAAGGAAGACAATTTGAAAGAGCGAATGGATCGGTTTAGGGGGCTGACAATATGAAGGGGAATGCACACAGAACAGATGCGAAGGCTGTTGCCATCGCTGCTATCGGCGACGACGATGAAATGCGAGGAAGAGAGGAGTGCTAGACGGCTCCGAGGAGGCATCTCAGCCAAAGTATCTATCTCTGCTCCGCCGCTGCCGCCCTTATTTTGCACCTCTGGTGCTCTTCTACGCGTGCGTTTCGCAGTTCACAGAGAAAGGCCAGCGCGGAAGGGACACTACAACAAGCCGCAGAGACAACGGTTACATCGTTGGAATGGAAGATGAGAAGACGTTTGGTGGACGGCGGCGCCAGTATTCAGTCAGTTCACCGAGGAGTCAGACAAACAGGCAACCAAGCGAGCGAGTGATACTAATGGCTGTGTCCGGCAGTAACCAACAGCGATGGCAATAGTCAAAATTGCTTTAATGACAGTGCACAGAGCGGCCAGTGCAACTGCATTATCGATGAACGGGCTTGTCGTTGCTCAGTTCTGACCACTGGTGCTATATAGGAGAACAATAAATGCCAGTTTTTTAGTACAACATTATTTTAGGAAAAACTTTAAGATGGATTATGGGCAGAGTCTACCGGTGGGATGTATCAAAGAGAGAGTTTATAACAGTCAGAAAGAAGACATCGCCGTATTCCGGCAATGATCTGCACAAAAAATAAACAGGTAAAATGAAATCAGATGCGTAGTAAAAATACAGTTCACTGAAATCACTGGGCCCACTTAAAAAACTGGACGTCGGTGCGTCAAAACTTTTCCGTGTTTTCATCTATTGATTAAAGTGGAAGAACGGGGAAGAGAGGTTAACCGAGAAGGGGTAGAGCGAAGAAAACAGTGAAAGAGAAAAAATTTTCACTTCGCCTTCCTTCCCTTCCCCTTAAACTTTTTTGAAAATTTTATTCGTCCACTATAATTTTCTCCCATCTTTTCTTGTTTCCGTAAAGTAGGGGGAGAAAACTGTCCTATGTAAACAGGTAAACAAAGCGAAAGAAGAAAAAAAAAGGAAACGAGGGATAAAACATCTAACAACAGTTCTGGACTGCACTGCTGTTCTGAATTACAGAAATCTGTGCACTTCCTTGAACTAAAGAAACAAAAAAAACAAGCTCTCGCTGGACCACATTCACTTTACTGGTAATAGTTTTTTCTTCCACCTTTGAAATCTTTATTGTCCGTCGGCTTTCACTACAATTAATCTACAAAAACTAAAATACTTTTTTTATCTTCTAATGACGATCTCAACCTTGAAAAATTCATTGTATAAAGGGACGGATAAAAATACTGAATTTACCCCCTCAAATTTTCTTCTGATTTTGATTCCATAACGTGCTTTATAATGCATGATTCTACATTGTTCATAATTCCTTTGTAGCTAAATCATTAGGTTTTCCCAACCACTTGTTCACTTTTAATTATGCAAATGTCGACATTTTGAAGAAAAAAAGTGCAAATTTTTTTTCTTTTTGATTTATTTTCTATGTAAATGAGTAAATAATTACTGACACATAACAATGGTGAGCAAAGGAAAAGTAATAATCACAACAAAACTAAATGTAGACGCATTTCTTTACCCCTATTTACCTATAAGCACCTTTGAACGATTAACTTGCAAGAGGGTCGTAATTTTATCAAGTTTTAATGTAAAAATTCTTAGTTGTTGAGCAGCTGGCCGGTACTTATTACAACTTCCTACTGACTATGTGGTTGTAGAGGTAATCTAGTTTCAAGATGCTAAAGTCCACTGCGGTGGAAACTTTCACTGCGCAGTACGTCAGATCCTTTAGCTGTTATGACCGTTCATGTTCGTCAGTACTCTACGCTGGCTTTTTCCCCTCACAACTGTCTAGCCACCCATCTACTAGGCGGATACTCGTGCTACGTATGGCATGTTTAAACATGATCAAGAGAAATATCCAACAACAAATTTCCTGGTAGTTTCACTTTCCAATAGATATTGGTAAGGTAGCGTATTCCTTTTTTGTTTCGTACGCAACTTGGTTTAAGCTGTAACACTTGATTAGCCAAAAAATCTACCTGTACAGTTCTAGGAAATCATACCCAGAATGAACAAACGGCCAAGTCATACACTAGCGTTTTGCAGTTTTATATAAGACATACCAAATTTTTAGATATCCTAAACAACAAATTAATGAGTGCTGTCACGTTAATTTTTTTCAGAGATAATACGACCTACTACAATAAATGAATTTGATGTTGCTGATATCAGTTACCGTATCCACAACTTGCTGTTCAAATAACTGAAGGTTTGATACGTTATGAAGGCTCAATTCAACAACTTTTAAAAATATTTACAAACTTTGTATGTCTTTAAGATCTTATGGAATAGTGCTTAGCTGAATGAACGCAATTTTTCTTTGTAAACCTACACAGTTATT